TGGCAGAACAATTTCTTTTGTTGAACTAAAGAATTGTGGATGCTGGAGATCTGAAACAAAATCAGTTGTTAGTGGAGTTCAGCAGGCCTGACAATGTTTCGAGTTCAATGACTCTTCATCAGAACTCCGGACTCTGGGCATTAACCTCTGCTTTCTCCCCACAGGTGCTGCCAGACCTGCTGAGTTGTGCCAGCAATTTCTGTTTTTGAATTTAGTTCGCTTACTTGGGAGTGTGTTGGGGCAGAATGTCAGAGCTGGAGGGAAAAATGAAATTAAAGGGAGTAAAAGAAAATTGTGTGGGTGTTCTACAGTGCAAAACTTCAAGAGAACGAGGTTAACCTCAGATCTGTGGGGCAGGGGGGAAGAAAGCAAATTTGTTTTCAGTGGTAACCAATTATTTTACATTTCACTTTCATTGGATGCCTGTTTTGAGCAGTTGATGTTTAGACATTCTCCTGGGAAATCAGATTTCTTTCCCTTCATCCAGTTGATTTAGAAATCCAATAAGCTGATTTTAAAGAACAAGTTCATTAGAAGTATAGTCTCTAAATTGGTCTTGTTAAAGAAGCAGCATTACTCTCCACCCTGCACCAAATGATTTTTAGTTGCGCTCTGGTGCTGCACAAAGCTCGGATACTTGCTCAGAGGGTGAGCCATCACCTTTCTTCTGCCTCCCCATTTGCCTGTGTGCAACATGGTAGAGGGTGACATGCTTGTAAATATTTGTTTGAAGCACAAGCCTTTGTAAGTTTCCAAGGACTGCTCATTGTTAAATTCTTCCAAATACTTTTCATGTTGATAGCCTAACGGTGATCGTGTAAGATATCATGGTTGGAAAAACAAAATTGAGTTATTTGGAAAGTAATGTTCAGATGCGATAAATTAAGGCTAGATTTCTATTGCGGCTGAGCAAATGGTAGAAACCATCAGACAACCATGTTCCAGGCAGGTGTTATTGCTTTCCTGTCATATTTGTTGATGTCTGTATGGAGGAAGGAGTGGATATTTGGATTAGAAATAAAACTTTTGAGGAAGAGGATGAAAATTTATCTTTGATATCAGCAATGCTTTAGCAAAGGTTTTTCTGCCCCGAGTAAAAATTGTAGTGCGTTGTGTATGCCACTGAGAACACAACTGAGGTTAATGCTTTATTGAAAATCCAAATGGGGTAAACTTGGTTTGGCAGGGGTATTGTATGAAATGCTAACCTATGTTTTGTCTTTCCAGCTATCCTTTATTCAGCATTCATTAATGAACCCAGATATCTTCTGTTTTGCTGACTACCCATGTCATACCGTGGTGACAGACATCTTGAAAGCTCCTCCAGAGGATGATAACCGAGAAATTGCTACATGGTATGTATGTACTTGTAAAAGTTGGGGACATTCAGAAGAGATGCCACATAG